TTGACTATATAAGCAATTTGTTTGTCTGTGAGAGGTTTGGGTTTCATAACGGCTGCAAAATTATTAATGTCTGTTTGAGCCTGTGTTTTAACAAAGGTTTGTGAGTTTGAACGGTTTATCCAAATTCCTAAAAATCTCACAGAAAATAGCTCAGGTATTATGTTAACAGCAGAAGAACCAAAGTTGATATTGATGGATTGAGATGCAAATGATTTTGTGGTAATGAGTTTTGATTTGGATTTATTCAGAGCAGCTCTAGTTAGATCATAGAAATCATCTGCTATTGCTAGGATATCTTCTAAGTTTTGTTGAGAGTCAGCAATCCAATTAGTATCATCCATGAAGGCCAAAGAAGAAATGGATTCTGAGAGGGTCGTAGTGGTGTTGCTGATGATGTTGTTTATCCATGTATGGGAGATTTTGTATCCTTTGTTTAAAGAGTCAACTTCACATAAGAGCGGATCAAGGTAGATACACCATAATAAAGGAGAAATAACTTCACCTTGATCTATACCAATTTTAACATCATAGTAATCAGTGAGTCCATCGGCTGTGAAAATAGCATTTTTTCTATTGGTAAAGAGGTTGATGATTAAATTTACACATTTAACAGGGAGCTTAATACGTTGTAAGGCTAGACGAAGAAATTTGAGATCAACACGATCATAAGCCTTAGAGAGATCTTGTAGTAGAATCCAAAGTTCTTTTTTGTTTTCATTAGCATCTTCTAATAACATGTTTAGAATTTTTATAGGTTTTTCTGTAGAACCCCCAGGTAATCCAGCGAAGTTATTACCTTTCAGGACTTGATGTTTAGCAAGGATTTTTGAGAGTCTATTTGTCACCACTTTGACAAAAGCTTTTCGTAGAGTTTCTAATAAGGTGATTGGACGGGTTTTTGTAATATCACACTCCCATTCCATTGGTTTAGGAATCGGATATACGTGTGCGATTTTCCATTCATTAGGAGTATCTCCAATATTAAAGCACATGCAAATTAGTTGCCAAACAAGATGTTTGAATTTATCTCCCAAATGTTGAAACATTTCATTGTGGATGCCTGAAGGTCCAGCAGCCTTATCCTTTGCCAAGTGTGAAAGAACTGAGCACCATTCATTATATGTTGGAGGTTGCATGAGGTTATCATATATGTTCTCAGACACATAGTCCTTTGGTTGGTATTGTAATATCCATCTGCCATCTAGAGTTCTAGGGGGTGTTGACGGTACTGCATTATTCTGAAAGTGATTGATCGCAACTTTTTTGATTTCATCAGGATCTAAGGTGAATTGTTTAGAACCATCATCATTGTTTATAAAGACTCGATCCATAGTTATTTTCCTTTTTTTTCTTTGTAAAATGGAGTCAATCATTTTGCCAGGTTGAGATTCAAGTTGATCACATCTTTTTCCAATAAGGGAGGTGATTTGCGCATCAGTATTTTTCTTTGCATCCATTTTGGTTAGCCTATACAGGACTTTGTAAATGCTATTAAGAGATTGTTTGACGTGTCTGACATTTGATGAATTAATAGAAAGAGGTAACGGATCTAAAGGATAGGCAATCTCTTTGATAATATTAGTGATATTATTGAGATCACGTTTCCATTCTTCACCTATAGGCCATAGTTTCTCCATTATTCTTTTAGATCGAAACTTTAATAGTATCCTTTCAATTTTGCTAAGTGAAGGATAATATTTGGAAAGTTCTTTTGGTTTAGGTGCACGGTCTTGTGAAAAAATCCATTTGTGAGGGATCTTAGAATTACTAATGGCCAATACTGCTTGTTTCAGTTCCATCCATAGATTATTCATATTGGTGTGATTGGGCTGAAGATCTTTTAGGCGATCAAAATTGTAATTGTTATAATAGGTGTTAGAATACTCAGCAAAACTTGTCCATTTTGAAGAATCCATGGATTTGAGAAGGGGAACTTTTCTTTTAGTATTATTGATCCTTGAACGAGCTTGGGAATCATGTTGTATATTAGAAAAATAAGCAATAACAATCTCATGGTCTGAATTATAAAGGTACGAGTGAATTATATTACAATACAGAAAGTCAGAGACAAGGTTTTGAGAAGCAAAAATAGCATCAATGCGACTAGAAGTATTTGCTCTTTTGTATGTAGTTAAGGGTGTATCATGACATATGTCATATAAGTCCAAGAAATTTCTGAGTACAAGGCCATGTACTAGATCATACTTCCAAGGAATGGTTTTACCAGAATCAATCATTCGTTGTAATTTGTTAAGATCTGCATTGAAATCACCCATGATGATAACATGAAAACCAGAGTGTAGACTATTGTCTATAAGTCGTAGTAATGTTGATTGTAAGACTTTCCTTTCTTTAGATTCAGTAGCATGAATGTAAATTGAGAAGACTCTTAATTTGATATTGCCTTTTAGATAGAGATCGACATAAATATAACGGTCATTATCCAAGAATTTTTTCGCAATATGCTTAGACCAAGATTTGCTAATAAGTAGACCAACACCTGAATACCTATTATGGACAGAACTCCAAAGTGTATCAAAATTGGGATCAGAAGAACATCTATATGATTGAGATGATTGATGCCAAGTTTCAGATAAGGCAACAAAGTTGACATTCTTTTTGTAAAATGTTTCGAGTATCTTACTATTTTTAACGTCATCTCGAAGAGAATGTACATTATGAGTAGCAAAGGTAAGGGTGTTTCTATTTAAAATTAAATTTCTATCATCACAATGTGAATTTTCTAGATCGTTGTCTATGATGAGAGTGAGTTGATCACGTGATGAGAGTGAATTATGAGAAAGGGAAGCATTATGATTTGTTGGTGGAAATTGATTATTATTATTATTTATGTTTGTGGAGCACATGTTAGTTGACAAAAAATTATTCGTTGTATTAATCATTGAAAAATATATAAGAGGGGTATATCTAATTCTGAGATTGACTAGCATTGAGCGCATATTGTTCAATTTGTTTGAACATTCTATCCATTTGTCTTTTCTGTTCTGCAATAATGGCAGCTTGTTCATTTACCATAAAAGTAAGATCAGGTTTTGGGGTCAATATCGGTGAAGTCATAGAATCGTCACTTGAAGATCCAGCAATGCGAGATCTTTTATTTGGTGTATCTTGTGATTTTGATGAAGATTGAGAAGCGTGTGAAATAATTAATGGATCTTTTCCTTTATTAACAATAGGTGTAGGAATCACTGAAGAAGTAATTGGAGAAGAGGCCTGAAGTGTTTCCAGCTTAGCAATTCTTGCATCTAATTCATTCATATCATTCTTCATGTTAGATAAAATCGAAAGAATCTGATCCAGCTTTTTATTGATCTCAGTATTAGGATTATGGACAGAATCATTCACAGTTGGGTTGATAATATCTTTTGGTGGTGGAGGTGAAGGAGTCTTCTTATTCTTAATGGCCTCTGAATAAGAATTTGCTGAGCGATTAGATCGGTTAGAATCCACAAATTTTCTGAAACCAGCAGGTTTAAACTTGTTGTAAAGTCTTTGCATCGAATTGTTTTGGGTGGGTGACTTTGGTTTAATAACTTCATCATTTTCATTGGGTAAAACTGGTTTTTGTAAGAAGGGGCATTTTATTACCAGATGTGTTGGATTACCACATTTGTGACAGCTTCTAGCATCAGGAGAACACCACATTAGGTTGTTGTTTCCAAAAGCAAAGTTTTGTTGAGTTGCTTGATTGAGAACTTCCTCATTTTCAAAATGTAATATAACAAACGGACGAGGTTTATAATTATTAGATCTGGGAATATAACTAGCTTTGGCTTTGGTTGCAAGGATTATATCATGAAGATCTCTTGCTGTAGTTCCAAAAGGAAGATTAGTGAGTTTGATGCGAAAGGTATTTCTATATTTAACTTCCTCTGGAGTCATGTTGCAAGGGTTAACACGTACAGAATCATTTTGAACAAAACGACTCCACACTTGATAGAATAATTCGATGCATTGAGGTTTCTCAAAGGTGATGTAGGCATGTTGCCACATACCTCTCACTGTCATTCGAAAATCAGTGACAGTACCATATTTAGCGAAAACTTGTTTAATATTTGCTGGTTTCATTTGTAAAGGGATATCAGTAACATGGATAGTCCTTTCATTGAATTGCATATCCGTCTTGTACTGGGTGTAGTCAAAGAACTTTTCAATCTTAAGCTCAGGAATGGTCACGTGTAAAGCTGCGGCAGCCGCGTCTGACGTCGCAAAGTAGACTACTACAGAACGCGTTAAATTTACGCGACGGACAGATACTCCTTTGAATTCATCATTTTGGGCAAAAATATTGTTGATAGCTAAAATGATTTTGCTGTTATTTTTTTCTTTGGGGGTGAACTTGATACTGTTAGCAACTGCAAAGGGGGTAGCTTTGGTAACAACGGTAAAGTCTTTTAAATCCTCATCCATATCATCATCGTCTAAATGTTCGTCAGGGTCCAAAAGTTTTGACCTATCTTTGGATGAAGAAGAGTTTTCAGAAGTATCATCAAATTTCGTGTTATTGTTGTTGTTGTTGTTATTCAAGTTCGGAATAGCAGTTGAAATTTTGTTGATGGTGGCAATTTTAGATATGTCAAAAACTTCGAACTCCATTTCTTTGGTTGGTGGTGAACCAAAAACTTCTTTGACAATTTCTATATCAAGGTTGGAGGGAACAGAAGTTGAGGTTGAAGAAGACGAAGTAGCTGGTGGAGAAATAGCAGCTTCCTTTGGATTTTTAGGAGCGACGTATGGAACAAACTTTGGGTTACTATTTTTTTGTTTTACGGCGTTTTTACGAGTCATAACTCTCTCGTGTAAAGAAGAAGGTGGGGTGAAACACAAGAAACCTTCTTTATACGGGGTTTATTATTTATTTTTTGTTAAAAACGAACTTTAAAATTTTTT